CAACAGAGCCAAATGCCCAAGCTCCTTGGGAGGCTGGGAAAGTCTAATTGCTGTTTGGTCTCCAGCTGCCATGCTGCCTCTGCTTCCTGGCTCGGCTGTGGCCACCTACTGGGCCAAGAATGAGGCTCAGAGGATGCAGATCCTGGCCTGAGTTCAGGACCCCTGCTTGTGTATAACGGTATTCCAAAGAAGCCCCTTCTCTGGCCATGAGAATAACCCTATGACTGGCCAAGCACTTCCACAGCATCACACACATGACTGTCCCCTCGTCTTGGGAGAAGCTAGCATGATCCCACTGTGCAGATGAGGAGGCTGAGGGTTGGAGGCAAAGATCTGTGATCAGCTAGGATTGGGAGCCTGGAGCCTGCATGCTGAACCACTATACTATGCAGGTGACAAAAGCTGTGCAAGTCCCTTGGACTTCAACCTTTGGCTATTATTCTGGGGATGCTCAGTCAGAGAAAGAACCACCATCACAGATTTCTGTGATGGAGAGTCCCCCTTAGGGTTGATCATCCTTGGGTATAAACCCCACTGCTCTTTTGCAGATCATCTTGACTACATCTATCCTAAGGCCGAAAGCTCTAGCTCACCTTGACTGAGTCATGCTAACTGGCTCTGGCTGCATAAGGACCCTGGAAGGGGAGCCAGGGCACCACGTGTTGGTGTCCTGCACGAGGGCAGTGGCCTGCCACATTGCTAGATACCACACTGGGTTAGGTAACTCCTGATGGCATACTAGGCATCAGTGTGAAGGAGGGAGAGGAGGCTCCTCTGCTTTGTTACCTTAGGCCTTATCCCTGCATGGCTTGTCATCTGGAAACCATGAACCACCAAGCATCAAATTCGCCCATAAGACTAAGTATCCTGCTCAAGCCTCAGCCACTCCCCTTGCCCCCGATCCTTTTTTTATTTGGAAAGGCATATAGTACAGGCCCATCCTAGGGAACTGTTTGACTGAAAGGCAATGAGAAGGCAAAAGCTGAATGTGACCAGAATCCCCCTGGAAAATCCAGTCTATCCCCCAGTGCTCAGACACTGTGGTCTAGGGGCTGTCCCGACCACTGCCTGACACGCAATACAGACCGCAGGCTGTCTCTAAACTGCACTGTCAAACGTCAGCCCCACCGACTATTTTCAAGGTTATTCCTAATATCCAGGCTTTAAATACCTCTGCTCATACCTGCCTCCTTTATCAACTTGACATCTTCTGCCTGTGAGTCATTCATTAGCATTCCAGCAGCCACTCTCACAGCCCAGAGATGTCTGAGTCTTGGATAAAATCCATCCTTGCCCAAAGAAGAAAAAAAAAAAACTCAAACCCTCTAGTTTCCTGCAGAGATAAAGCTTCAGCATAGGTCATGCCTAGCATAGGGTCAAAGGTCACAGGCAGCTTAGCCAGGTTCCCAGGTACCTGCATCTGAGGAAAGGGTAGGGGTGTTATGAGCTGAATTGCATCCCTGTAAAATTCCTATGTTGAAGTCCTAACCCCCGAGGACCTCAGAACATGGCTATGTTTGGATAGAGGGTCTTTAAAGAGGCCATTAAGGGTAAAATGAGGTCATAGGGATGGGCCCTTATCCAATATGACTTGTGTCCTTATACAAAGAGGCTAGGACACAGACACACAGACTGAGGGACAAACATGTGAGGACACAATGAGAAGGCAGCTGTCTGCAAGTCAAGGAGAAGCCTCAGAAGAAACCAACCCTGCTGACACCTTGATCTTGGATTCCAGCCTCCGGAACTGTGAGACAATAAATTTTTTTTGCTTAAGCCACCCCAGTCTAGAATTTTGTCATGGCAGCCTGAGCACACTAAGACAAGGACTGTGTAGGTACAAAGCCAGAGGAGGGTGTCAGCAACAGCTGGGTCAGGGTGGAGGCCCCGGCGTGCTCAGGGTTCACACCCTTAGGAAGCTGACTTAGTTCTCTTAGGCTCCTGCCCACATAGCTGCCAATGCTGCTGAAGGCCTCCGTCTGCATCTGCCAAGCTCCTTAATACTGCAAGAGTTTATACCAGCCATAGACAGGGGGCCGTAACGGCAGCCTCCGGGACAGTCAGCTGTGCTGGCAGAAGTGAGATCAAACCACTGGTTAGGGGAAGAGGCAGGAGGGGCCTCTGCCCTCCTCTGACTAGGGCCCTCAGTCAGCCACCCTGGTGAAATCCAGTCAGGTTTATTTCAACCACGATTTGTTGAGTACCTACAGATTGTAGGCATTGAGCTAGGTGATACAGAGATGATAGAACTCAGGGCCCAGCAGATAACCAGATGGTTAAACAAGTAAGCTACTTATAATAATGGAAGCCTCATCTAGCATCAAAGCAGAAAACGGCAGTGTGTAATTAGCCCCTTCAGGAAGGGAGAGAGGTTCAGTGGAGGCTTCAGAGATGGGAGTATCAGCAAGATTTCCAAGACAGAACTGAAGTTCACAAGCAAACAAGCAGCTGAGAAAGACTTGCCAGAGTTACCAGCACAGTGAGGAGGCTCAAGCATGCACAAGGGATTCACAGAACACACCCGGTGTGACATAGGCAGGAGATGGGACCATTCAGGCAAGAAGGCGCTAGAATACACAAGGCCCCGTGTGCCAGCTAAAGAGCTTGGCCTGCATCCTGAAGGGGACAGGAAGGTGCTGGGGAACTGCAAGCTGGGGCAATTTCCAGGTCTAATTTGTGTTTTAGACAGACTGCCCAGACAGTAGGGTCAAGGAACCCTGGGTAGAAAGTCAACACCAAAATCTAAGCATGAAATAACAAAGTCCTCTGCTAAGGCAGAGCAGGCCTCCTCTGAAATCTCTCCTTTCCTCAGAGAGTTCCTGCCAGTTTCCTAGCCAGGCTTGGTGGATTACCCTGAGGGTTTTTTAGCAAATGACCCAGCAAGAGGATGAGAAGGGAAACTGAGGCACTAATGCACTGCACAAAACACACAGTTTCCCTGGGCCCTGATGGTTTTATATTTCATTTTTCTTAAATGAGACAAAATAAGCCACCAACTTCACCGAGATAAGAACAGTCTCACCAGTGGCCTATCCAAGGTCACTTTTATTGTTTATTTGGCCTATTTCCCATTCATCAATCTCTGTCATCAGTTCAAAACCTGATCTTGACACAGAACTAGTTTGCTCTTCTCACTTTCATCCTTCAGGAGAGCTGGACACCCTGCCATCAGCTCTGATACTGAGGAAGGACTTAAATAAAAGTGGCACCCATGACAGAGACCAGGATTCCAGTTTAGAATCTTGAGCCTGGCTATTGCCTGAGCGATTCACACCCTTAGTATGTCAGTCACCCTCCCTTGCTGTCCATTCCATGCTGGCCATGGATGAGACTGACACCCTCACCCCGGTTATCCTGCTTTGAAGCTGAGACTGTGTCACATTCATTTACATCTTTTTCCTCAAAGCACCTTACATGGTGGCATGAGAGGGAGGCTCAGAGGGGTGTCACTGTTTATAGTTGTGTGATCTTGGACAAGTTACTTGACTTCTCTGAGGCTGTTTCTTTCTCTGTAAATACAGAAAATAACAATAACTCTACCTTGAGATTATATGATAATTAGGTAAATGTTAAGGGCCAGCACTCACTATTATTAAGGGCTTGTGAAGAAAAAAGGAGGAGGATGGGGAGGAGCAGGAGGAGAGAAATAAAGGGAGGAAGGGCTGGAGAAGAAACTTGAGAATCAGACCATTCTGGGTTCAAATCTTTGCTTAACCACTTGCCTGGCTGTGTGCCATCAGGCAAGTTACTTAACCTCTCTGATTCAGTTTCTCCTCTATAAAATAGGGATAATACTGCCTACCTTGCAAAAGGATCTTAGTTAAGAGAACAGACATAAAGAGCCAACACTTTGCTTGCCAGCTCTAGGGCATTCACGAAGTGTGTTGGTAATCAGACCCACTGATTTCTTAGCCCTAAATGGTACTTAGGGGAAAACATGGTTTAAATTCTAACCTTCCTGGACCACCCACTTCAGCCCTAGGAGGGGTGAATGTGTTAAAGCAAGTAGAGGCCAGTTTATAGACACCCAGGCCGTCCACCGTGCTCCCATCCACAGGAACACTGCTGTCCTTCATCACTTCCAAGGGGAGGCTGCTGAGCTCCCTGAAACCCAACTGTGTTCTCTCTGGATAAAGGGGACAGGAGAGCCAGGCTCGTCTTTCCCTGAACCCAAGTGTCTTCACTTGTGAACTGGAGGAGAGCAATGCCCCTCTGTCTGGGTATTGGCAGAGTGTGGAACATCCATTTGCTAAGGAAATCCTAAGGCACTAGCCCCTCACATCTTACAGCCCTCTATTACGGCAAGTTATTTTAAGCCTCTCCTGGACCCAAAGCCTGAGCAAATGAAGCAAATGGCTTTGGGACAGGGACCAGAAAGGTTTTTAAGGCCTCTCATTCTGCCAGAAACACACTTAAAATTTAAAAAATTTAAAATTTACCTCTCTTGGGTTCACTCTGTGCTAGACGCTGGTTTAGAGGACACAAAGCAAAACCCCAAACCCTCAAATCAATGGATCACGGCAAACGCTTGCCCCTTTCCACCTTGTCCTAGGTAATGCAGGGACTGAGCTCCAGTGGGAGAAGCAATCAACTACACTTTCCTGCTGACAGTTTCAGATCAGGACAGAGGCAGGCTGGTGGTAAAATGTGTCTCTTTTTTAACAAGGAATGGGACAGGAAGTTAGCCAAGGAGCAGATGGCCTGAGGTCCCTGCCAAGCATCCATGGACAAAGCCAGGATGGGTCCTCAGGGCAAGGGGGGCAAGGCACCAAGGGAAGCAAGAACCGTGGGAGGGCAAGCTAGCCCCTAGAAGCGTCCCTAAATAGGGAGGGCAGGATTAGGACCCCCAAGTCTCCTGGGAATTTCTGTGTCAGGACTTGGGGGTCAAATATGGGTCAGGCATTAGGGTACACATGTCTACTATCAGACCACCAAGGCCACACTCACCCCATGAAACAGATAAGTTGTGTCCCATCCCCCAGCCCACGCCACAGTCTTACTTCTACTGGGCAGCTCCTCTTGGCCCAGGCCGTTGGAGGGAGCTAGAGGGGCACTGCCACACTCGTCCAAGGTCAGGATGAGGGGAACGTCGTCATCTAAACTCACAGCCATGTTTTCTTCTGCAGCCCTCAGGATGCAATGTCCAGGGCTTTAAATAGTCTCTGCTTTGAGCTCCCTTTCAAAGCCACTGGCCCAGAGGTGCTTCTAAGAAATTCCTCCATTAGAGGCATCTTCTAGGGTTTGAGAAATTAAAAAAAAAAAAAAGGAAGACAATCATCAAAATACAGACACTATTGATGAAAATACGTTGGCATTAGGTAGTTGTACTCTTTGAAATGGTGGATCTTACAGTATGTGAAATACATCTCCAGGGAAAAAGAATGTTACAGTAAAGCAGCAGTAAAATATGGGGGAAAAAACTCTGCCTGAACAAATACTGAAAAGTTAAGGGTAATTGTATCTGGAGATTGAGATTATGGCTGACATGTTCTACCTCCATCCCCATTAACCTTGTTTGTGTATGTTTTGTAAAGACTTTAAAGACTTAAAAAAAAAGTTATTTTATTGGTTTTATATATTATATATAAAATACTATTATTTTATATATATATATGAGCAATTGAATACATTTCATATTCATTCATATAAAATATATATATAAAACCATTAAAATAATAGTTGTTAATATTATGTACCAGGGGCTCTTGTAGCAATCGTTAAGTAACACTGATTGAAACTATCTAACATAGATAGGTAGGATTATTATGCCCCATAAGAGGAGTCTTTAAGAGGTTAAGTAACTTGCCCAAGAACCCAAAGCTAGAAAGCTGAGCTTTGGACTCCACTATCTGGCTCCAGACGCATGCTCCTTGACACCATGATACAATTCTTCCAAGCCCCAGTATTCAGGCCACACTTAGCTCCAATGACTTGTAAAGAGTTAGTGTGCCAAATTATTCACACTTGCCCATATCATTCTTACATAGGCATTATCCTCCCAGATTTAAGTGTTGGAGGAGGAAGGGGAAGAGGACTAAGAGTATTTTTTTAAATGGTGTCCAGTCACACATTCTGAATTCCCAATTTAAAACACTCAGAACTAGCCTGTTACATTTCCTATTTATATACATTCCATTTCCGCTGGGAGGACAAAAGAAAAGCAAAGCCTCAGCAGATCTGACAGCAGACCTTCGAACTTAAAAACAGCAGCTGGTTCCTTCTTCAGACTGTGGCCTTCTGGGTTCAATCAAGTTTGCCTCTGCTCACCCACTGAATGGCAACCCAGCAATGTCTTTCTTTCACAAATCACCAGAATAACCCTGGGCAGGACCCTGGGCATCAATATCTTCTTAGGCAGCAAAAGTGGGCACTCTTCTGTTAGCTGCAAAGCCTACAGCTCTCTGCCCAGCAAACTTCCTGGTAAAGTTTCCTCCAGGTCTGGGGATTAATTTTGCTTTTGATTCTCAATAGTAGACAGACAAGAGAAGAAATCCCAAGTGAGATACCATTCGGCTGTCTTAAACATTGTCTTATTTTCTTTTTAACTTTTTTCCACACATCTTTTCAAATACACTCAGAAGTAGAGAGAATATGTAAATGAACTTCCTTGTATCCATCACTCAGCTCTGACAATGATTAACATCTTGTCATTCTCTCTCTTGTCGAAAAATATTTATTTTGAAGGCTGGAAAATCTATTAACCTTCTCAATTCAACGAGAGGTTTCTTAATTTTATCACTGTTGTATAATGGCTAGTGGTTTTTATTTTAACTGTTTAATATATGACTGCTTGCAATGCACACATTATCTTAGCTCTGTGGCTCTCATCTGGGGTGACTTTTCTTCCCAGGGGACACTAACAACGTATGGAGACATGTTTTCCTGTCACTATGTGCTAGGTAAGGTAGGTAGAGGCCAGAAATGCCCCTGAACATCCTACAGTCACAGGTGAGACCCACCACAACATAGAAATATGTGGCTCAAAACGTCAACAGTGCTTCTGTTGAGAAATCCTATTTACCTAATATCCCCACTTCACATATGTAGAAAGTGAGGCTTAAGGAGTTAACCTGCCTCTTACAAATCAACAGCAGGTTTTCACAGCCCAATGGTACAACACAGCCCAGGCAGTCTGAAGCCCTCCCACTCAGCCATTACCCTATACTTCCTACAGAACCAGCTTTCCAGTTTGAATTCAAGGCCATCACTTTACAAACAGGTAAAAGTGAGGCCCAGAGGGGAAGAAGGGACTTGCCCAAGGTCACACAGTGCAGGACTCCTGAGTCCTAGGCCAGCGCTCTTTCCGCTGGCTTCGCTTCTCCCTTTGTGGAGGGCCCAGAAGGGGTCACCCCTGGGGACAGGTCCCTGGAAAGTGGGCCAGCAGCCATCCTGCTGTCCCCTAGGGCAGCCTGACCCGGGTCAGAGTCGCTTGCTAGGTGGGTCGCCTGAGGGCGCCAGAGAGACGAGCAGATGAGGGAGAAGAGGACGGAAGGGGAGTGCGGGCTCCAGCTCCACGTGCTCCCAGCCCTGGTCCGGGCCCACGAGCGGGTGTAGCCCCAGGAAGCCGCGGGCGAGGAGAGGGGGCGCAAAGCCCCAGCCTGAACTATTGGAAGAAAAGCGTGGCGATGACTTCGCCGCGGCCCTTGTGAGCCTGCCTCCCACACCCCAAAGACTAGCCGCAAACCCCTACTCCGCGCCCTCTGACCCCTGACCCCTGCCCTCTCCGTCAGGCATTCCCTCGCACCCCTTGGATTCTTACACGCGCCGCCCGAGCAACCCGGACCGCGCACCGGGGTCCACACCACGCAGCCCAGCCCGCGGAAGCCGCCGCCAAAGCTCAAAGGCTGGAGCTGCAGCAGCCGCCTCAGCGCCGCAGCCGCCGCCACTTCAGCAGCTGCCACCACAGCAGCAGCGCCAGCCCTCTCATCCACCGCCTACCGTCCCCTCCACCCCTCCAGCCCCGCCCCATTACCCCTTCGCCCCTTTCTATTGGCTCCCTCGGCTGTCATGATGCGCGCTGATTAGCCAAGCCTCGCGTCCCTTCTCAGTTCTCGCCCGCTGCCGAAGCAAGACTGCCTGCCCGCCTCCTCGAGAAGGGGCCGGGAGATCAAGCTCCGCCTCTTTCCCCGCCCACCCTCCCCGCCGTACTCGTTCAGCCCAACCCAGAGGGAGAGACCGTGCCCCTGACTGGTTGTGCTTCAGGAGGAGGGGCGGACTGAGCGGAACAAGGAATTGAATGGTGGAAAGGAAAGTCAGTCAGGAGCTGCGTCCTGCCTTCTGAGATTGGCGGTAACCTAGCAACGCAGGTAACCGCCGAGGTAACAGTTGAGAAACCAGGAGCCCTCCGAGCTGGTGAGTGACCAGGTGGGAAGGGCTGGGAATCCTTTGGCTCCCGGAAGAATCAGTAGTCTGCCCCACGATCTCACCCCTGCCCCGTAACCCCGCTCTCCAGCCGCTGCCTCAGTCTGGACCTCCCTTTCCGCCTTCAAGGAAGGACCACTGACATCTTCAGTGACCCTACCTCTACTCTGCCCTTCCACTTGCCGTCTTCAGTCCCATTTACCCGTCCTTAAAACGTGGGTGATACCAGTCGAATGGAGTAGCGTCATGGTTGAGGAATTTCAAGTCAAACATAGGTGATGGGGCTGAGAGGGTAGTTTCTAAGTCCCCGGCCATCCCATCCAATGGCCATCCACTCCAGGATGAGTATGCAACAAAAGGCACCTCACTTGAGTGGATTTTTAAATTAGGTAATTTTGAATGTACCAGGTTTTGACTTTTGTGCTAACTGTAGCACTTAACTCCCACCTTTGCCCTTTAAATGTGATTTCATTGTACATACATAATTCAAAGGGTCTGCTGTGAGGAGTAAATGAGGTAAAGCAATGGAGAGCTTGGCATAGAGCCAAGCAACATAGTGAGTGCTCTGTAAATAATGGCAATTATTTTCTTTCTAAAATGCATTTGTCTTTGACTTCTGCTTAAAACAAGTTCCAAAGGAGTCATCTTGTTTCATACCTTAAATGTTCATATATTCAACAAGTATTCAGTGCATGCCTACTACTGGATGCTGGCATAAATTTGTACATTTACCAAAAAAAAAAAAAAAGTAATTGAGTTGTATGATTAGAATGGGTGAATTTTATGGTATGTAAATTACACCTGTGATAAGTACCATGCAAAAAAGGTGCAGAGGGTTTCCTGAGATTATAATGCACTTTCATGTTCTAGTCTGGGGTGAGGTCACCACTGAGCTGAATTTGAAGGATCAGAGATAGCTGTTTATCTAGGGGTTGGGAGTTGATTTTCTGGCAAAAGGAACATTGTGTGTAAACATCCTGGTGTTCTGAGCCCTTTAGAGGCCTCTGCGGCTGCAGCACTGAGAGCAGGAGGGCTTGGAGATACAGCTGGACGCGTAGGCTGAAGCCAGTGAGAAGGAATCTCATCACAAGAGAGAAGGGGCTTGATCCTTTGCTCCTTGCATGGCCTCCGCCCGCACCTTGGCTTTAGTCACCATCTGTGCAGTAACAGCTCTTAAATTTCTGTCGTCTTTCTGCGTCTTCCTTGAACTCTACACCAGATATCCAACCACTTCCGCACATCTCATCGTTGCCCCACGCAGGCGGCTGCAGGCCTATCAGGCACCTTGGTATGAATTAGGAAGAGGCACCCTGTCAAGGCACACTGCCTCCTAATTTTGTGACGGACTGAGTTTGCTCTCCTCTGTCCTTGTCCCCACCACAACAAAGAATTGAAAGGCTGAGACACAATAAGGAAGCAGAGTGAAAGTTTTATTTGAATACAAGGGAGGAATGGGCCAGAGTCCAGGTAGACAAATGCCCCAACTTTTAGGGGAGGGTCTGTTATCACCACCTAGCTGAGAAGCTCTTCTTTTGATTGACAGGGTGAGGTCATTTGATTGACAGCTCTAGTTACACACCCATTCTTCTTGATGCGCACGTCTTTTCCCAAAATGCACATAGAAAAAGCCCATGGGGGTGGGGGATAGTGAGAAAAACAGCAATTTTATTTTAATAAGATTATGATGAGGTGTGGTATGGGCGGTTCTTAGTCTTGTTGGATTTCACCCTCACTGGAACCTGGTTGGGGCCGGTTTGGCCTAGTCCCAATAGACAAGAAGTTATCTCCCTGCAAAGCCTTTATTGACTTCACGTGGGACCCTCCTCTCTGGGCAGCTTGGGCAGTTTTCTTTCCTTGAACCTTATCTTCTCCTTCCCCCGCTGCTCATGTCTGTATTTCTACTAACAATTTCAAGGGTGGTCAAATAGATAGCATGTTCCAACACCAGTAACCACGCCTCTCAAACCCGGTTTCTCTTCCAGGCTTCTCTTTTTGGTAGACCCTCCAACAATTCAACCAGCAACCCAAAACATCAGCCAGAACGTCAGCCAGAACACTAGACGTCATCCCTAACTCTACCCTCTCCCTCACTACCCATGTCTAGTCCTTTACCTCACCACACTGATTCTGCTTTCTCAGTATTTCTGGAACCCATCCACTGCTTTGTCCCTGGCCAAGGCCACCCTCATGTCTTCCCTGGACACTGCATCAGCCTTCCAAACCTGATCTTCTTGCCATCCTACACTGGCCAACCTTTTCACCACAGATCCGGTCTTGTGACTCAGCCCCTGCTTAAAACTCTTTCCAGGGCCTTCAATACCTCTTGAGCAATGAGGGAAGCTGTCATGGCTGACTTTTCTAACCAATCAAAGCAGGGTGACTTTCTTATTCCCGGGTCCCCTGTAAGGTGCCCAAGAGGAATTGAGAATCATAACCAGGATGGCCAGGCCAGGCCAGGCCAAAAGGTCAAGTAGCAAAAATGATAAAAGTCAAGAGTGAGAAGGGGTGAGTTCTGAGGTCATTGCTCATGCCTTGTCTAAATATAAAAAAGCTATTACTAAAAGGCAAAAATCGAACCCACTCTTCCCTTTCCCAGAATTCACCCTCTACCCAGAAAAGACCCAAATGGCCTTTTGATTAGCAGCATCAGTAACAGAGGCCACAAAGTCATAGCATCAATCTTCCTGCCTCCAGGCTGGACAGGCTGCCCAGGGCATTCCAGACAGAGCTCTGCCCTGGCTCTGGGCAAGGCATTGCTTGGGAACGTTCCAGGCATACATGGTCAGGGGTAAATGCTGTGGTTTTAGCTTGGGGTTTTCACTCAGTTTACAGTGAAAAAATGAATTAAAGGTGTGAGCCTTACCCAAAAGCCTTTCCCTTTTCCCTAGGAGAGAAGAGCTCAGGGTGATGAGGCGATGCACACCTGATTTATGCCTCAGTGTATAATAATCATGCCTTGCCTTTGAAGAAGGCATTTAACTCTCCTAAGGGCTTTCCCATCTATTAAATCATTCTTCCTCCACCAAGCTCCCTTTTGATGTGGCTAGATCAGGTGTTGTATCCCAGGTGTCAAAGAGATAAAGTACTTGCCCAGACTTATTCCAAGAGCCCCTAGCAGGGGAGAGTCATACACCAGGTCTCCCAACAACGAGCTTATGAATTTGACCTTGACTCTGTAACTCATGTTGGCTTTAGGGGGCACAGAGTTTTTTTTGAGGAGACCAGGAGTTTTATAGGGGAGCAAGGCTGTATAGTCTAGAGCAGTGACTCTCAACCAGGGGCATCCCCTTGCACCCCCATCAGGGACATTTGGCAATGTTTGGAGACATTTCTCTAAATGGTCAGAACTAGTGGTGGGAGAAATGTGCTACTGGCATAGTGTGGCCAAGGAGACTGCTAAACATTGTACAACACGGAGGAGAGCCCCCACAACGAAGAATATCTAACCCAAAATGTCAGTGGGGAGGAGATTGAGAAACCCAGTTTCAAGCTGGTATTTTCATTCAAGGCAAATACACACACACACACACACACACACACACACACACACCTTTTCTCTCAGTCCCTAGTTAGTAGAACTGAAAGCAAAAGTAGTTAAAAATCAAGATCATTTCAAATACAGAGCATCAGGGCAAAGTATCTCTCTGACCTTAGCTTTCAAATAATAGAAACAGATTATATCCTATGACCATTTAAATACTGTTCACATTTTTGTTTTTAACCACAAAGCAGACATAGAAATACATTTCCCATCTCAACCTCACACACATCTTCAGTTCCATATGAATAGTTACTGCATGCAATGCCTTCTGTTATTTTCTATTTTATTTCATTTATTTTTGACACTAGTCAAGCTGATTTTACCACTCACTAAAGGGTCACAAACTTCAGTTTTAAAAAGACACTCTTCGTTGTGATCTGGCAGTCAGGAAAAGCCATCGTTTTTCAATTGATAAGATTATAATTTAAAAAAATTTTTTTTAAGTGGAGGAAATTTATTTTAGAAGAATCTAAATTCACTAGTAGGAAATTCTTCCTGCTGTCTGAAATAACCAAAATGATACTACCCAGACTTATTCCACTGAAGCTATAGTGTAACCAGAAGAGGAATTAAAAATCATGATGCATTAATTTGGGAGGAGGCGGCAACCAGAAAATGGTGGGATCTCAGTCCTCCTCCATCACTAGCAGAAAAAAAAAAAGTGAATAATGTAGAAATTAAGTTAAAAATAAGTAGTAAAAAAGAATAAAAAGTGGTTCTATTTTGGCTTTTTATAAACTGTTCTGCATAAAACATATAATTTTTTTTTGGTATCATTAATCTACAATTACATGAGGAACATTATGTTTACTAGACTCCCCCCTTCACCAAGTCCCCCCCACATACCTCATTAGTCACTGTCCATCAGCATAGTAAGATGCTGTAAAATCACTACTTGTCTTCTCTGTGTTGCACAGCCCTCCCTGTGCCCCCCCACACATTATGCATGCTAATCGTAAGGCCCCCTTTCTTCCTCTCCCCCTTCTCCCTCCCTTCCCACCCATCCTCCCCAGTCCCTTTCCCTTTGGTAACTG